AAAAGAAATATCATTATGGCAATTGAATTTATTGGTCATTTGGATGAGACTTTTTTTAAATGAAAATATATATTTTATGAAACTTAAACATTGAGAAAATAAAGTAGATTTTTAAAATGTACAAATAATTCCTATCAGTTTTTCAAATGTAATATTTTTTTTGTGTTTATGAATTTGAGCACTTTTTTAATGATGATGTATTATTTCAAGCTTTCTCTTCTTTAGAAGCTTTTTGTATGAAGTATATACACTGCAATAGTATATACTGTACAGTCTGAAGTTTACACGATACACGATACAGTTTGCAGTTTACACGATACACGATACAGTTTGCAGTTTACACTTTACACGTTACAGTCTGCAGTTTACACGATACACGATACAGTTTGCAGTTTACACGATACACGATACAGTCTGCAGTTTACATTGAATAGTTAATCTTCGGATGAAAATTATAAGTAGCTACGTCTTTTGATATTATTCTAACATCTCAAAGATTCGATACCGATTCTAACCTTTTGCTGTTTTATAAAATACTAGCTTTTGCCGCGACTTCGTCCGCGTGGAATAGTGACGTCCGGCAGATTTTTGGTTCTTCCCACATAGTTCCCGTTCTTGCGGGGTTTTCGGAATGGTCGAGTTCCCGTAGAATTTTCAGGATAAAACCTATGTTTTTTTTTATTCACAATGAAGAACTCTTAACCAAAAACATATTTATTTGTTTATTTGAATAAAGATTAATATTATTATGTTGATACAACTGAAACAAATTATTTCGACCAAATTAGGTACCATAAAAACGGTTTTTTCTGAGTTAATCTTAAAAGATAGACATATACTGTCGCGGACTGTTTTAGATCATTAAAAGAGCTATTATTCTTTAACAGATATTTTTTGTGTATCTTGAACCGTTTTCACGGCGCACGCAACGGAAAGCTTCAAAGATGAAATAATTTCTTCCGTTTTTTACAAATTTACCACTATATCTTTGCTCCTACTGGTCGTAGCGTGATGTTATATAGTCCACAGCCTTCCTCGATAACTGGACTATCCAACACAAAAAGAATTATTCAATTCGAACTAGTAGTTTCGGAGATTAGCGCTTTCAAACAAACAAACAAACAAACTCTTCAGCTTTATACTCGTAATATTAGTATAGATATCACACTACCATCCTTCTCTACGTACTGATAAGTATAGGCGCAAACCAGTTTGAGAATAACGTCATAATTTTTGTTTTATTCATTTCTTTATAAATGTATGTCTCATTTAAGTTTTAGTTTCAATATCTTGAACATATAACACCTCTATACTGACACAAGTTATTTACATACTGACACAAGTTATTTATAGTACATAGTTCTTGTAGCAAACTCTTGGATCAGCTTACATTGATTTTTGATCTTCATATTACAAACTGTAAGTCTTAAGCGTTATATTGTGTTGTAAACTATATGACTATTATCTTTGTTTCATATAAATATAACTTATTTCTCTCATTTTAAGTAACGAGGTTAAATGGAATATTAATTTCATTTGCATTTGGAATTATTATCAAGAAACTCCACCAGATGGTTAGAAACAAAAATAAAAAATAAATACGCTGTATCTATTTACAGAGAATGTCTATAAATTAATTGTTATTAATTAAGCTCAATATAATTAGTTGAGAAATATTGAGGAAATCATCATGGACTTGTTTTTGTAGTTTTATTCCCGTGATTGATGTAAAAAAATGAAAAATAAGAATATACATACAAATAAAGGGTGAGGGACATGTAACTACGAACTATAAATATTTATCTATTGCTATATACTTTTATATATCTATGTGTGTTTTTATGACAGCACTTACGAACAATATTTAATAATATTTTTTGTGTATTATAATATTGAACCATTATCACGACCTTAATACATATTTTCTGTATATATTTAATAATCTTAAAACGGATGGACAATATACTGTAATGTAAATACGTGAACAGACTTCTCACCGAGGAATTAAAGAGTTTCAGACGAGACATTTAATTTCGGCAGAAAATATTTTTAAAAGGTAAATGTGGTAACATCTAAATGTAATTACAACTAATGAAATCGAGTTAGTTAAAATGATTTATGATATACAACAGTTAATATATGATAATAATATAAACAGTCAGTTCACGTACACATGAAACTTTATAAGAGTGAAGGAGTGGCATTAAGATACATAGTAATACCTTTTGATGAACACATCTTAGAAGGAGGTCATACGTACATACGTACAGTCATCAGTAATGTGAACAGAATAACGGAACTATGCTACATAATCTGTAACTGCTTTCATATCTTGTATCGACAAACGGACCAATGTAATTTATTAAAAGATCATTCCTTTCTTTGAAAAACAAATTCGATCGAAAGTAAAGCACTACAGATACGAAACAAAATGTTGAGTTGTATTCCATGAATATCTATGAAGCGCTATTGTTGTCCCAACTGATGCCAAATGACATTTATAAAAATTTTCTTCTATTGCAGTGAAAGTGTTTTAAATTCAATATCTACGGCTTTATTATATCCTGTTATAAAAGGTAGATATTTACTGTTTTTATTTCGCTCACGGAACTAACTGAAAACATTAAATTCATAAATTTCTTCAGGGCGAGGTCGACACGATCAGTAAATGAATGAATCATGAATAATAACACATAAAAAAATAAAGGTTTCCAGTCTATAACAAATATTCGTGAAAGTTCCGAGAATTTCATTTAATTTCGTTCTCGATAGACCAATCGTAGTCACCGTATTGACCACTACAGTTTAAATCAAAGTGTCCACTACAAGGACCTGTGCCCATGTGACAGTTTGTTAAACATTGAGGAAATAAAAAAGTCGTTTAGTTTTAAAGCCGAATGTTCAACGAGTTTAAATATGATAATCATTCGATAGGAACGTACCTTCAGGAAATTAAACATTTTACGTATAGTGTAAAACTTTCAAAATCAAATATGTATTATTGTAAATTAAATAGTGATTTACTGAAGGTCTCCAATGCAACAAACTAAGAGTAAAACAGACGATAGGTATATATTACAACGATGTCATGGTTAAAGTTGCTCCAAGTATTCACTGAATTATCATGTACTCGTATATTAATGTGACTTCAGAACACTGACGTTAAATGCAATATTAAATAGATATTTTAGTGCATCAGAAACAAGTTAAAAATCCAGCACAAAATTTATTTAAAGTCTGCCAGAATTTATGTAGCACTTTGTCCTTCGCTGCTCTGTAAAACGCCTTATTCATCAACCGTCTGCATCAATAAAAAAATTAAAGTAGAAATAATGAAAGTTTTTAATAAAATAATACATATATTTAATTTAAAAGCTGATGCAGACTGCTTAATGACTTTCGCGAGTATTCATTTAAATGAAATTAATATTATTCGGATTACTTCTCGTTTTTTATTATTTTATATCTACATACTCCCGACGTGATCAAGTGCAGATGAGATGTCAATGTGAATTATATTTAATCAACATAATTCTTAACTTAATAGCTTGGTGAATTCAAAAAAAGGTTTGTTATTTCCATATTAATTGATAATCTACTGTGCCCTTTATAGACAACTGATCAAGTGTTTATTTATTTTAGAGTAGCAGGTTTATCATGTCCATGGATATTCTACTATTATTAATAAATGTAAACAATGAAATTTTTGTCCATTCGAGGATTACTTTATGTAAAACTTTAAAGTAACTTGTTCGTTTAAGCAATAAGATACCAAGAATGATTGAAATGGAAAAGGTAAAGTTAAAAATAATCCAAATAAAATGTACTTACATATTTAAAAAATACATGACTTGAAATTACTAAAAGCAAAAAAATCTCTATGATGATAAGAATGAAAAAGAAGTTGATTAGATATACAAGTTGAATAATTTTATACATACATATATCGGATTTATTACAAATTTGTTGTTTTTAAAGAGAGCCTCGCTGACGTTACTAATGTTACTTCTTCTTGTACGTTCCATGATATTTTAAAATGAAACTTCAATTATTCTCAATGCTCTTGTATTTCTCGAAGATTCTTCATAATTACATACTTCAATGATACGCACTCACTGAACTCTCAAGTCTGCCGTCGTGCGTCCAGACGTCATATTTGTACCAATATTTAAACATAGTTCTATTCTCCTTTTAAACAATCTTTGATTTCGTTTTACTTTTAACAATAATCATAAATACTAATGAGTTTTAATAAGAATTGATGATAGCCTCAAATAATTTTCATTAGGCATCCGTTATTAAAGTTGATAGCGCCGATATATATAATGGTAGATTAATAGACTTGTTAGGTAATAGATTAATAGAAAGCTAGGTGTTTCGGTTTACATTAAATAGTATTCAAACAGCCTTTGTCTACTAATTAATATCAATAATTTTTAAATACTCTCTTTCTCAACATTTTACTGTTACAAATAAAGCTCATTATTGAGATAATCCGAAAGTATGAAACACCCATATTTTGTTAAAATCTTTTTGTGTTTTGTTTGCAGTCATTTAGAAAGTTTTGTTACATTATGTTCATACCTATTACATATTTTCAATACTATTTTATTCCAAATTTTCAAAAATTTTATTTTAAATATTTTGTTCCACCAAATAACAACTTAATTTCATTTTATAAATTATATACAGATCAAAGCAGACATACAACTTTTTAACTGGATCGTCAATTAACGGTATAAAATTATATGAAACAAAGGTTTTTAAACAACTTTATCTTAAGATAGGCGCAATAGTTTTGTAATAACTTTTCGATAAATATTTTTGATTATTCTGATTATTTTTAGAAGAAAATTAACCTTTTCAAATATTAAAATAAAATTACAAATAAACAAATGTTAATTTCGATTAATTTTCTTTCATGTTTTAACCTTTTTATTTTATGTTTTAATTTTTACATTTCCTAGTGTATTTGGATATTTTTAATATTCTTTTCACTTTTATCGTCTCTCAGGAAGCAGCGCCAGTCGATCAGCTGCTCCAACGCCACCTGCCGCGCGGCAACGCTCCTCGATCTCCTGGAAATAATTAGTATTAAATAGTGAGATTAATGAACCAGAATTACCTTACCATTTAAATTAATACTCGCGAAAATCTTAGATTTCATTATAAGTCAATCTTAATAGTTACTCTGTGTCTATGAGTTTGCATTTCTTATCACTGTTTTGTACACAATTATTTTTAATTTATTGTAAGAATATGTTAAACTACCTAGTGATACATTTATTATGATTGTCGAAGTTTTAATTTAAAATACATAATATGTTTAAAGTCATAATTTTCTCAAGTCTGCGCGTCTATAGCGACCATATCGTTCTCGGCTGCGTCGTGGTCCCTCAAGAGGGCGGTGGCGGCGCGCAGGTCGCGGGGCGCGGGGGGCGGGGCGAGGCGTGCCCGGCGCTCCCCGGCCCGCGACAGCAGGTCTGGTAGGCGCTGGCTGCGGGACTGGATCTGTTCTACCAGACGCTGCCAGGACTCGCTGGAATGTATGAATTGTATGTATTTGAGTTGTGGATTATGTAAATTAGATCTTATTAATATGTTATTAAAATTCATTTTGCCTTGTTTTATAAATGACATGTGGAATTTTTGAATTAGATCTTATGTGTATGTAATTAAGTTTCATTTTTCTTTGTCTAAATTAAATTCCATATCTAGTTATTAAGTCTTATTTTAACTTGTACAAATTTATTTGCATTTGTGGAATGTCTTATTTAGATTCTATACCTGTATACATGTCATTAAGTCTCAATATTCTTTGGTATAAATTTGATTCGAACATGTTAGATCCTATATCTATGTTATTAAGGGCCATTTTCCAAGTTCTCCTCACCCGAGCACTTCCTGTCTCTTTTCAATGTCAGCGATGTATGGGCTGTCTGAGGCGACCAGCTTCTTGGCCAGCTCCTCACACTAGTTGAACCTCTCATCCCCACTCTCTACACGGTGACAGAGCTCTTCAAACTTGGACCTAAGGATCTGTGGGTGGGGAAATATGATGTCTTAGATTATAGATATAATTCAATGGTTTTGGAGGATATTTTAATGAAGCTGTAAAACTTTAGGTATATTTAATATTATGACATGATAATCTTTGCACATCCTTGTGAGATACAAGAAATAAAAAAAACACTAAATTACGTACTAAATGCTCAAATTGACTTAAATTTCAACAAAATTTAGCATTCATTCGTTAGTTTCTAAAAATAGTATTGCTGAACGGATTTCCGTGAAGTTTCAAAGCGTAGTATTTGAAGATATAACTGAATAATGTCTCCATCACCAAGTGTGATGGCTGGAGCACCCTCTCATCATCATCATCATCATAATCTACATATCGTTCCTCACCAGTAAGTGTTCATAGTCCTGTCCGTAGTCTTCACTGGAGGCGGCTGCTTGCTGCTCCGCAACCCATTCCTCCAACTCAGCGCTCTCAGCCAGATATTCATGTCTAAGGATAGACATTAGACACACATATTTTTAGAGAATATCCTATTTATATATTCCTATAACACACATATACTAGTCTTTGTCAGCAACTTCTTCATAATCAACTTCAGGAATAGAAAGGCGTTACTGTGTAACGCTTAAGAAGCAGTAAATAACAAGTCTTTGTTAAGTAGTTATTTATTTAAATTTCTACCTCGCTTAATGAAAAGTATGCTACGTCAGTCTCCTGTTTCTAAACTACCTCGAAACAAATTTACAAATTCTTATAGCCCTTCTTGATTATAACTAGTGCGACGAATATGATATGTATATATATAGTATCTCTCACCTGCACACTCTCCATGAGCGCGGCCTGCCTGCTCGCTGCCAGTCTCTGCAGCCTAGCCAGACTGCCAGCCAGCTGGTCATGTCTGGTGACCAGCGCCGCTCCCTCAGGATGACCACCGGAAGCCATGGATTGCGCCACGTGACCCATTTCCGCTATGATCGCCGCGTATGTGTCCAACTCGAGTTCTACGGCCTGTTGGTAGGTTAAAGAGGAATTGTAAGATAATGCTGAATATACTCTGTATTATTATATTTCTGTTAATTGAAAGTGTTAGAAATTTAAATAATGACAACTTCTTCTGATTTAAGTCCATATATATATGTCGGCACTAGCGCGCCAACTAAACATAACTATAACCAACACGTGCACCGATCACGCCACCGAGCGCGTGATTCGATGCCCCACTCTCCCCACTACTAGCTGTATAACAGACGTGCGCGATTATTCTACAGGAGTCTTGGCTCTGACGTGGCGCGGTGCACTAGTTGTACTTAGCCTGTTAACCTTGACTCTTTGGATAATTAATTTGTGAAAACGAATTAATTATTATTCTGGTGTTGCAATTTGGTCCTTGGACTAATTATATCCGATTTCAACTATTATTCAGTTTAAAAGAACTTCATGCCTTGAATTATGGCCCATCCATTTATCCATTTCTATCTTATATTTCTACATATATATGTTAGATGTCATACTCCTGCCAAACGGCTTAACCGATTTTTATGAAACTTTATATGCATATTCAATCATTTTAACAATTGGCTACTATCTATATTTCATACCCCTAAGTATAAGGGCGGCCCACTTTTAACACCTTATTTAATTTTTTTTGAACAACCTTTCATAATGTGGCATTATAAAATACATACAACCCTTAATTATCACTCTTCTATCACCAACCCCTATTTTTAATACATGTTTTATAAATATTTGATCCTACTCAATGACTGATAAATTTTCACTTCATAAGTCACTTGATGACTTACATATATGTATATAGTGATTTATCATTTGTTGTAGCTCAAAAATTGAGTGATATAATGAAAATCTAATTCTTAGCGAATTCGTTCATTCGAATTATGTAAAAAAAATAGGTACTTAATTTTTGACCAAATTTCCGTATAAATAAATAAAGTGTGGACACGTTCCAAGTGTGGACGCGTGCGGCGGCGTGCTGATACAACACCACGCCGCCGCACGCGCGTGTGTGTGTGTGTGTATACTTAATCTGTAGGGTGTTCACACGATGCGTACTTAATTACATAACTTTTGGTTAACTTTACTTAGAAGTTTATTAATATTTGTGTTATATTAATTTTTATTTTGTCATATATGATCGTCAAATATCACGTCCTCAAGTATCGATAATAATTCACCAGTCACGCTGTATATAATTGGTTGTTTCGTACATCCAAAGTGGATACAAATGTAATACCAGTCTCTGGTGAGGAAGTTCAAAATATTGTATTCAAAATGTTGTTCGACAAATTGTGGCTTAAATTGGAAAATACTATGTATAACCGATATAATTTCTGCGCAACTCAAACGATTAAAAGACGAAATTGCAAACTTTAAACAAAGTGTATCTTTCATTAATTAAAATAATTAACAGTTTCGTAGATTCACCTTTCCTATTGTCTAATATTGAATTTAATTGTCAAACAATAAATTCAAGATATAAACCATTATTTAATGTGCCGATTTGTAAGACGAAAAGTACTAATAATATCTTATATCGTAGCTGCCAAAATTTAATAAATAAAGTTTGTTTCCCTAAAATAAAATAAAATAAAATAACATACATACATTGCAAATGAAATAATAACTATTAAAAGTTTTTGCATTCATTGTTTAAGAAACAGTCATGACGGGCAGACGAGATGTGTATGATATAAATTATATTTAGGCACATATTGATAATAAATTTCTGAATTTAATTTCGTAGCAACTCAAGTGCGAACTTGCACTAAATACTTTATGATCTCTCAGTAAAACATAAAATCTGGACCGCGTTATGTACAGATTGTAAGTTCTAATCTTATTAAATGTATGTGATACATCTATCACCCTTAGCGTGGTTATACATTCAATAATATCATATAATAAGTTTGACATCACCAACCCTTCTTGAGCGAGCGTGGTGATTAATGCTCAAACCTTCTCCATGTGAGAAGAGGCTCAGCAGTGGGCTCTGATAGGATGATGATGATGGAAACATCTCATATAATCTCCTATATTATGAATATGCATTGAATATATTCATATAATTATGATTTCCCAGGTCGGTGGAAGACGCCAAAGCGAGGTTGGCGGAGATGGAGCGAGCTCTGAACAGCTCCGAGCTGGGTTCAGACTTGAGATCCTGCAAGAGACTGCTGCTACTACACCAGGTGGGTACATCACATACTAGCTGTTTACTGCGACTTCATGCGTGTATTAGGTATTACTCAGATGGTGATTAATGTGTATCTAATATAATATAATGGATGTCATTGTGAGGTCTAAATTGCTTTATAGAAGAGTTTTATCAAAATCAGTAAGGATAATTTACTTGTAAGACCAACATATATCCATACATACCTACTAGATATACTATATAAATACATATATATATATATATATATATATATATATATATATATATATATATATATATATATATATATATATAATATATATAATATAATGTACGAAACAACCTTACAGTGTACACGTTTCTATTTTATTATGATCTTTATATCAATATGATTAATATGGTGTTCCTCGTCTGTTGGCTGTTAATCAAATTACAAATAATTTACATTATAATCCTTTTTTTTTTGTCACTATTCTCATTAACTACGTATTAATTATTTCTTAAGTACTGAAACGCCTCGCGTTAAAAAAATTTTTACCACCAAAAAGCCATACCTGTATCAAATTTTTTGGACAGTGTTTGCTGTCCAAACACTTGGCATAGTATTGTTTGTTATCATTTAAAATTTATGCATATGTGTACTAGTTGTTTCAAAAATATAGTAATGCGATTTTGTTATTCATGATGCCATAAATATTATTTATTGCTTACCCTTTTTAGAGTTACCTTTTTCACTTTATCGATAATTTGTTCTGCCACAATTAAAATCGTAGTAATGTATTGGCAATGTTACTATGGGGCTGGTGTATATAGAAGTATGAAAATTCCAAAATAATATGAAGTAATGATACTTGAATAAGTATTCAATTCACTACTTTACATTAATACCTATGTAAAGTAATGCTCTGGAGACTGGATAAAGTAGGCTCATGTAGAAGGAGTTGACGTTTGTTTACTTAAATAATTGGATCCAAAGTAAATCACTCAGATGTTCAATTTCGTATGTTATGGGAGTCAGACGAGGACGTGCGGCATAATTGAATAATTTGTTAATTTTGCTCCCTCCTTCAAAAAGATATTATTTTGTTCTACACTTCATCTATAATTATATACTTACTAAATGTAAAACTTAATTTTCAGATGAATATTGTTCGTCACCACATCGTTTACAACGTAAGTACATTTTCATACACTTATCGCCTGAAGAAAAGTTTTTTCACAGTAAATATTGCATAGTGCATTTATGCATAGGTTTTCTCGTTAAGGATTTTAGTAGAAATTTATATTTTAGAAGTAATGAAAACAATTACGAGAACAACCTTTAATGATCATTTGGTTTAATTTATGCCGACACAAGAGGCAGAGGTTCTTGAGGATTTATACTATTTATGCATTTAACATTTCTTCGTGCTTGTCACACTTTTAATTAAATTTTAATACCTTATCGAATTAATCTTTTGAAAATTCATGAAAAATAATTTTCTGGCCAAATTTTCCATAACTGATGTTATTTATTTAATCCACGCTTACCATTAAATATTGAACACATTCAACTATCCCTACTAATATTATAAATGCGGAAGTAGCTCTGTCTGTCTGTCTGTCTGTTACGCTTTCACGCCTAAACCACTGAACTGATTTTAATGAAATTGGGTACAGAGATGGAGTTGACCTTGAGAAAGAACATAGGATAGTTTTTATCCCAGACTTTTGAAAGGTTCTCTTGTAAACGCGATATAACCGAACTCCACGCGGGCGAATCTGCGGGCGGAAGCTAGTCTTCATATATTTCTGTCGCAACAAAAATTATTTCATATCAATCGTTTTTCAGTTATTGTAATCATTTATTGCACAACGCTTTATAATGTTACATTTTATTTTAATATCAACATAACATATAACTATAAAATTTTAATCTAGTATAGAATTGTATTAGTTTCGAGATTTCGATGATATTTCACCTAGTTTGTGTGCTAAATAGGACAGCGTATTGAAATTAATTTTCATTTTTCGGGGAAGGTAAGCAAAACATGCAAAACTGCGGGATTCTAAGAGCTTCGCAGACTTACGGAACGGAATTGTGATCATCATTTGTTTCAATAGCTAATGTCGATGAATTACTAGTATTCAGTTAATCTGGAGTATTATTACCTTTGGTCTTTGTTACTTTTTTAATTGACTTTAGATTTACGGGTTTAAGCATTCTAACTGCATTTAAAAAGAAAGTCGGCTGATAAAGTGCAGATGACTCAGTACAGCTTTTTGTATCCTTTTCCGACATTTCACTATTTTTCATTGAAATATATATTTACAAAAATTTGTTTGTGATTAAGTGAAAATTGGTAATACTATTATAAAATATTTATCTTAATATTATGTATATCCAATTGTTTTTAATTGTAGAAGTCTGTATTTCATAACTATATTCGCTGTCTCTGTTATGCTAATTCATTATTTAAAGAATCCGAAATTATGCCACTTCTGAAAAATTTTGCTAAATAAGAATATCACCCACAGCTATAATTATTTCATATTTTATATCTTAATCAATAATCAGTATAATCTAAAAAAATAATATAATTTCTTTCAAATATTTTATATTAATTAATTTATTATAAATTTCAAATAAATAATGCTGAGGTTGTATGAAATATTGTATTGCTACAAATAGAAGATTAGTGCAATAATTATGAAAACGTTTGAAATATTTTAGTATTAAATTCAGAGACAAACTTTTATAAACATTAGAATTTTGTAAAAATCTGTGAATAATATTTTTTACTTCAACATA